AGCCCTGAGTTGGGGCTCTGTGCTGACAGCTTGGAGCCTGGAGCCTGCTTTGGATTCTGTGTCTCCTTCTCTGTCTGCCCCTCCCCTGCTCTCTCTCTCTCTCTCTCTCAAAAATAATGAAAACATTTAAAAAATTGAAAAAAAAAGAATTCAAGTTGATAAACACGGGGCACCTGAGTGGCTCAGTCGGTTGAGCGTCCGACTTCGGCTCAGGTCACGATCTCGCGGTCCGTGTCTCCCTCTCTCTCTGCCTCTCCCCCACTCACATTCTGTCTGTCTGTCTGTCTGTCTCTCTCTCAAAAATAAAGAAACATTCAAAAATTAAAAAGAACTCAAGTTGATAAACAAACGGAGACAGTACCAACTGATAGGTATAGATGTGAGAGTTACCCATCTGGAGGTCCCATGACCCCCTCCAAGTATGTCTTAAGAGCTGGGATTTTCAAAGCCACGCCAACAGGGGCTCTCAAAATAAGGTCAAATTACAAACAGCAGACAACAACTTCCTATTTTCACTCTTAAATGCCTTCAAAACTTGAATGAGCACTACAGAGTTTCAAAAGTTCTCAAATTAAGAAAAACTTCCTTCAAGTCACAATGAAGCAAGTACCTTCTTCATTTCCCTTGAAAACCTACTGACTGTGGCCGAAGTCGACACAGATTACTAAAACAGATGATGATAACGGTCAACATAGTAAAACGCATGGAGTGCAGGCTGAAAATTGCAGGACATAATTATTTAAAAGCTCTTTCCCTAGTACCTGGAAGAAAGTTTAGAAGCTTTAGTTACATAGGATAGCTCTCCCTTAAGACCCAGCCAAGTAAAAGCGGATGTCATGCACAGACAGCACACAGAAGAGCAGTGCAACACTCATCCAGAAAAATCTCAATAAAATGACTTCCCACTTCCATTGCAGCGGCACAAAATAAATATAGAGGAATCATTTCACGTTCCAAGAAGAGTACCAGTTTATTTCAAGAGATAATCCAAAGCAGAGGGCGTAGCCTATGCGTCTTTAGAGGTCTACAGTTCACGTGCAAGATTTTGCAGACGTATGCAGCATCCTAAGAAAAAGGTCCACAGTCGTCATCACAATGCAAAAGAACAATGACCAAAAACGAGGTGAAGAACCATACAAGTTTTCCCCATCATGAATTTCTCATCGGTTTATATGACCCCACAAAGAGAAATGCTCAACAGTGAAGGAGGCAAAAACAGTTAGAGTAACATTTTGCTCACAGTAAACTTTAACACAGAGAGCATCTTCTATTAATGCGATGCGAATCCCCTCCCAAAAGTCAATTACGACACTGAGGCGCCTAGTCAATCAAGCCACGTTGAAAAAGTCTCCAAACAGGCGTTTCGACAGGAAGATGATTAGCCGACACTGTCTGCAAACCCATTCTCCATTGTGTAAACTGAGGCATTTACTGCTTCCCGTAAGAATTGTAACTCGGATCCCCTTTTGCCTTTTTCTTTTTAAACCGCCACCCCCAACACTGTCCATTTTCCAGTAACATCTGAGACACAGCGAACATCTGCTCGACATCTAAACAAACAAATGGACACGTTACAACTACGCGGGCCCCACAGGAGTCGGATGGACGGCATCGATGCGTAACAGGCACCGACATCAGCCCGCCGAGGACAGCCTGTGGGGCCGATCTCCACTCCGGGCCACTCTGCTGTCTTCTTCACATGAACGTATTAGGTGGCAGACACTCACAGCAAGGACGGAATGTGACGGCATTATCACGAGGTACGCGTTTCAAGTCCAGCTTTCGAACCGGGGAACAGGGCAGTACTGAGTGGAGATGAAAAAACAAACAGAAGCCGAGCCGGTCAGGGCCGAGTAAGGTTGAGGTTAGTGGCAACAGCATGTGCGTGGTTTCCAGGAAACCTTCAGTGAGACTGCTGTTAGCCCTAGCCCCGCACCTTGCCCAACCCAGTGTGCTGCCTCTTCGTCCAGCTCCCCGCCTGGCTCGGTGCAGCACTGCCCTGCTCCCAGGGGTGCGGCCGCCCAGCCTGAACTCACCTTGGCAGCGGAAGGGCCTGGAGTTGAAAACACGTTAGCGCATCATGCCAAGAGCGCAGCGAACACGCGCACTTCACCCCCTCGGCGCTTCCGGAGGGGAGGGAAACACATGCCAGCGGCCAGACAGCCTCGGGACGGTTCACACCCTCGAAGGATTTGGAGAAACGGTTTTACAAACACCCACGTTCGCCACACAAGCCGGGAGAGGACAGAACAACAGTGGAGTGACTGCACCAGGAAGTTGCACCTAACGGCTGAAAGCACCGGAAAAAGGACGGGCGTCACCTACTTTAACTGCCATTATCTGCCCACTTGGTTTGTGGACCATTTTGTTGACGGAACCGTAAGCTCCTCGTCCGATTTCTCCAAGGTCCTTCAAGTCCTCCGCGGTGAAATCCCAGTGCTGCTCAGGAGAGATCTTCAGTTTTCCCGACGATTCGATGCTGTGTGTTCTCAGCCTCTCTCTGTTAAAATACCGGGAAGCAATTGTGCCACATTTTAAACAGGTTTGGACTTTTTTTCTGATAGCTAGCACTGATGAACGCGTGGGAAAAAACACGGTCTGACCTCCAGGGTTTTCGAGGGTTTTTTTTTTTTTTTTGCTTTGTTTTGTTTTGTTTTTGTTGTTGTTGTTTTTAGTGGGTTGTTTTTGTTTTTGTTTTTTGTTTTTTTTGCATCGTCTTCTTTTTTTTGACACACTGACTTCATTAAGGAAGGCCTAATTTAGGGAGTCAATGATCATAGCTTTAAGAGGATTCAGAAAACCAAGGTTCCATTGACTGAAGAAAGTAATTCTATAGACTCGTGAGAGCTTTCTCAAACCTTTGCAAAACTGCATTGTTAAATGCAGACGCCCAGGAGTGACAGACCTCATTTCCAGAAAGTTCTTACCCAACCTTACCCGACATTAATACTCCAGGCCCTCAACCTGTGGCACAGGCACTCCCAAACTTTGGTGCACATTAGAATTTCCTGGCGAGATTCTTAAAATCTGGATGCCCAGGTTACCATCTCATAGCAATTAAATCAGAGTATCTGGGGGCAGGAGTCCAAAAGACCCAGTATTTTTAAAGATCCCAGGTGACCCCAGCAGAGTTTGGGAACTAACACCTTACCATACTGCCCTGTCCCTGTCCCTGTTTATGCCATGCTGGGGTAGGGGATTAGTTACATAAATAGCCAGCAGGCACTAAGAGAAAAACTGTCATGTATTATTCAAACTTGAACCTCTCAGTCTTTGTTCACTGATATAGCAACGAGGTGAAAACTAAATGATTCATGGACAAAAGGACCCACTCCTTACAGATTTCCATTACGTTCTAAAACCATCTCCAAAATTCTAACCTGGAGATCAAAGGATGAACTTGTAACCATGCTTTGTAAAAAAGCAAATCTGGGGCGCCTGGGTGGCTCAGTCGGTTAAGCGTCCGACTTCGGCTCAGGTCATGATCTCGCGGTTCGCGGGTTCGAGCCCCGCATCGGGCTCTGTGCTGACAGCTCGGAGCCTGGAGCCTGCTTCGGATTCTGTGCCTCCCTCCCTCTCTGTTCCTCCCCTGCTCTCACTCTGTCTCTCTCTCTCACTCTCTCAAAAATAAATAAAGATTAAAAAAATTAACAACAACAAAAAAAGCAAATCCAAAATGAAAAATGGGAAAACCACCTCATGGGTGTCTCTTTCTCCCCTGCCCCCACAGATCAATGCAGTAATGAACTCTATCAAGCCAGGGAGGGCAACAGGCCAGAAAAAGATTCTTGAATATCATCGATATTTTTCTTCAATTTCATACGAAATGGTCAGACTCTCTTTAAAATCTGATCAGGTAATACAAGCAAGAAAAGTTGACATGCTTATTTCTTTTACTTCTTCCAAAATACAGAAATGTTTTCTCAGGTTACTGGAACTGATTTTTGTAGCTACTTTTAAGGTTCTCAAAATATTCAGAATTTTAAAATCACTTCCCCAGAATTCCCACACATACTAGTATTCATAATTACCATGCTTCAAGACTGTAGTTCAAAGACTAACACACTTTGTCTAAGTAACCACTTCGGGAACCCACATTCCCAGTGCCAGATTCCAGGATCATAATAAGTCATAGTACCAGCTTTTCTTCACGCAAATTCTTGTCTTGTTTAGGACATGTTTTCACCAACCAAACCTAGTGACGAACTGTCTTAGTAATCTTTTTCATGATGCAGAAGTATCCTAACGTAAAGAAGACTCGTTTTTGGGGCGCCTGGGTGGCTCAGTCAGTGAAGCGTCCAACTCTTGATTTCGGCTCAGGTCATGATCTCACAGTCCGTGAGACTGAGCCCCACATCGGGCTCTGTGCTGATGGTACAGAGCCTGCTTGGGATTCTCTTTCTCCCTCTCTCTCTGACCCTTCCCTGCGTGCACGCGCTCTCCCTCTCTCTCAAAATAAACCAATAAGCACTAAAACAAAAAGAAGAAGAAAGAAAGAAGCAAGGAAAGAAAGAAAGAAACAAAGAAAGAAAAAGAAGGTTCATTTGTAATGATCATTGTTCTCCGATCACTGGCAAGTAAACACCATCCCTATGGCTCAGTGTAATCACTGGTGAAACGTCCAGCAGTGGGCAACCGCTGAGCGTAGCTGAAAAACAGTTAAAATTACATGTAAATTGGAAGCAACGTGTTTTAAATTATTCGCTAATTTATGGGACATGGTAGACAGGCTCAAAGGTGATCTCCGCGATCTGTACATCCTTGGGGTTCCCATCGTTGTGTAGGCTCCTCTCTCTGAGTGTGGACAGGACCTATGACCTGCTTCTAACGAAGAGAATGTGGCAAAAGACATCATTCTCATGAATACATTGTGTCATACAGCATTCCTGAGAAATGAAAGGAGTGTTTCATTACTACCTAAATCACAGAATAGCAAGTTATAATATTACCTATTTAAAGATCAAATTTCAGAATTATGGAGTAGCTCTTCTAATAATTTCGCTTACTGTAGCCTGCTGTGTAGTTTCTGGAGAAGGTCTCTCTTTTTTTTTTTTTTTTTTTTTTTAAAGGGAACACCTGTAGATTGACACCTACGGGGTACAGGTTGTCTTCTTGGACTAATGTAAATGTTCAAAAACTGAGTACACAAGTCTGAATACAGGAAAGTACACAACTCTGAATACAATACAACTGAACTGTACAGTGTAAGGGGTGAATTCTATGGGATGTGAATTATATCTCAATAAAGCTGCGAAGACAGAAGCTGGAGGGCAGAATGTGGTCACCACCCACAGTCCCTTTTCTCATTTAGACTGGAAAAAAGTTGTGGAAACCACAAAAAAAACATGCTATGGTTATGCCATCATGAAGGTGTGTTCATGGAGTCTTTGCTCCTACCAGGCTGGCAACCTTTCCAGCAAAACTGAATCAATTTCACAGCTATTGTTTTAAGAGTTAGTGGCTTCCAAAGAAGGACTGGATAGAGATACAGCGCTGTAGTGACCACACCTGGAAGCCTGACCTGACCCTTTACCCTCACACTAGAGCAGTCAACCAGTGAAGCAACTGTACCGAGTGCCCGAAACCTTAGCGGTGGTTTTCTATGGAGGCAAATGTGTCAATCAAGATTTAAGTGTTACTTCTATTAGGCATATCAGAAATTCCCAGTCATTTCATTATTAATTTCTTACCTGAAAATTAGTTCAGCTCAACTCCACAAATCTGTAAGCGATCCCCAATGCCTTTCTCTGCCTCACCAGTAACTAAGTTCAGCCTATGACCTTTTCTTTACTCTTACATTCAGCCTTCTAAAATGCATGGTAAGTGTGGTCCACAAGAGCAATTCTTAACCCAGACATCTTACCCATTCCCTCTGTTGGGCTTATTCAAGAAACAAGCAAGCGATGGAGGTTCCAAGTCTGAAATTAACCCAAATCTCATACAGAAACACAACCCCAGCCCCATATCTAACCACCTACGCAGAAAAGTCCCTAAGAAAATCGGTAACGTTCTCCTCTGGATCTAGAGGTCTTCAACATGGAAACAAATTTTAATAGTTTTTGTTGTAAGAAGACCTGTAATTAGACAATCAAGTGATACACACTCCAGTTAACAAGTGACCTATACACTTACATATTTAATGCCTACAGATCACAAATCAGATTTAAAGAGTACCCCTCTTGAATACAGTATTTCCAACAGGATGTACTTGGGGATAGATCTCAACACCAGGGAAGCTGTTTAGCTACAGACTGATGTCACCATAAAATATTTTCTCTTATATAAAGGGAAGTAGGAGTTGAGTGGCAATAATAAACCTTTGTGATATCTACAGACACCAACATGAAGGATTAAAACCTAAAAAGAAAAAAAAATGGATCCATTTTATTAACCAATTTGAATCAAACTTGAAAAAAATCGGTTCGTGGACACAGTGCATCTTACCACCAGATTCGCTAATTAACGTGAATGGACTGGGTCCGTGTCCCCTGCAGTCATATCGTCATGTTCCAAAGACTATGCTCCCTGGCCTTGTAAAGGGGTGCCGTATGAATGACTGAAAAAAATCAGAGGTTCTAGGCCTTCCCTCTTCTACTCTTTCAGGGAACCCTCATTCCCCTGCCCCCCAGGCTTCATCTTTCCACGGAGAGGGATCTGGTGTCTCACCCGAGCCCTTACGGGCTGACCAGAGAACACGAATAAAGAAACTGAATACACTCAGGTCAAGTCCTCTCTTCTGAAACCAGCCTTCCTACACGGAGGGTACGGATGCTCTGGGTATCCCTCTGTCATGCATTATGAGAGGCTGCCACTCACAGGATGGGGAAGTCTAATTACATGAGGCCACGAGGAAGAGTCAGCAAACTATTCAGGTCTCAAATGCAGAGCTACATTTCCCACTTTGTCAAGAATAAGACAGGGGTAGGGGCTCCTGGGTGGCTCAGTCAGTTTAGCGCCTGGCTCTTGATTTCTGCTCAGGTCATGATCTCACGGTTCGTGAGATCAAGCCCCATGCCGGGCTCCGTGCTGACAGTACGGGGCCTGCTGGAGAGTCTCTCTCTCCCTCTCTCTCTCTCTCTCAAAATAAAGAAACAAGCATTTATCAAGGATAAGACAAATCTTACCATCTCTCTCAATTGGTGCCCAATACAAAGGGAATGAAGCCTTTTCCACTTTTTAACTAGACTTCTAGAGAACCAAAAACCAAGATTTTCAAACATTTTCACAAAGTATTAGACAGTAATAAAACGAAATGCAATCGTGCAATTCCTAGGGTTCAAAGAAAAGATAGCAATTTCAGGGTGACCTCAGAGTCTCCAGACACCAAGAATTTCACCGCTTTGCAGCTAACCCTATAAACTAAAGTCAATTCCCTTTGGCCCCCTTGTACAAGTGCTCAGAAAGACAAAAGACAAATACTTTTGGTGACCTGAGTCATAGCTGTAGCTTCAAAGTCCCAGTTTATTCCACTTCTAGAAAAATCTCACCCAGAGTCTCAAG